ATGACCCTTTCCCTGTTGTGACTTATATTAATGAGGATTACAAAGCGGCATAGGAATGGGAGGCAGCCAGATTCGATCCAAGGAAGGGGAGGCTAAATCCCGTTCCTTGGATCAATAGCACCTCATGACACTGCTACATGCGGTAGAATGCCGGAGGAATTTCAAAGGGTTTCAGGCATATCAGCATTACATTTACTTTAGGATGAAGAAACATTCAGGGTTGTTACAACCTATTTTAGATCGTAACAGCCATTTCAGAAAATGCGTACTAGACTTTTCAGATTGAAGCAGGTACCTAGTGTTCCAGTGAGGCTGTAGGCAGCTTCTCAGATGTTATCAACAGATATTACAAAGAAACAAGCTGTAACGAGAAAAACTACGTTAGTAATATGACAGAGGCTGTAACAGAGTAACAGGCAATGTTGGTAACATATTACAAAGGTCCTGTAACGGAGGAACAGGCATCGTTAGTAGGAGGTATTACAGATAGGCGGCAACGGAGCAACTGCGTTAACAACAAATGTTACAGATGTTCTGTGATGGCGTAACAGGCAGCGTTTAACAGATACCATGGTTAGACACAATCGTGGTTGGTGTGTAATAATATATATATATATATATATATTATATATATATATATATATATATATATATATATATATATATATATATATATATTACATCAAATTATTACAACATATGGTGATTAAGACAGCGATTAACACATGGTAATTAAAGCTTAATGAACAGTGCGTTAATGATCACCTGATACTCTCCTGGCTTGAGATACCAGAGTCAAGATAGAAATAATCCAGTGAAAGAGAGAGGGACGAAAATCCCGAGGAAAGACGGTTGGAGGAGGACCTTACCTGCTAGAGCCACGTGCGCCCACAGGCAGAGAGCGAGGGACGCCATCTTGCACCAGCCGCAAGATTTCAACGGTGAAATCTTCATTCTTGAAGTTTTTAGGGTCGCGTTGCGGTCAATAATAAGGTGCTTGCGGGCAGCGACGTGTACTCGCGGGTATTCACGTCTGATGGCGATCGGTAACGTGTGCGCGCGATCTGAAACGAGTATTCGCGGTCAGTTAAACGTACACGTGATTCGCAACACTAGCTCGTGATTAGCAGCGTGTAATCGCGATCAGTAAGGCGTACTCGCGACGATGAACGCGTAATCGCGATCAGTTTCACGTCGTCACGATTAGTTTCACGTATTCGTGATCACAAATGCGTCTTCGACGCGCAGCTGTATTTACCGAGCACCTCTTTGTGGTTTTTTTTCTGCTGATTACCTTCACTTACAGTGGGGCTGAGTCCAGATCAGTCAGCCCCTCTTCTTATTACCTAGCATAATGTACGCCAAGAAAAATTCTTTGATCGTCTCTCCTATGAGGCGTATTTATGGATGTTGAGGGAGACAGGAGATGGAATAAAATGATGGATGGAAATGAATTGGTGGATGAGGGCAAGAGGGCTTGGGTGTGGGCGTGTGAGTGCGTGGTAATTGGTGTGGTGTGGGACTAGGTGTGGGGTGTGGGCGTAAGGGTGTGGGCGTTTGTATGGGCAACAAGAATATCTCAAGCGATGCCGTAAAGGAATTAAGAGTAAATGTGGATTCCTCTGATCACAGGTGGTTTTGAGACACTACTCAACTAGTGTCAGACGCAGCTGAAGGCGGTCAGTTAGAGAGATCACGAACGTCAGACACAACTGAAGGCGGTCAGTAACAGATTCACGAACGTAGACACAGCTCGAGGTCACTAACACCATGCGCAGACCAGTGTGTCCCCTACCGCCGGACGGGTATCAAGAGAGATCACTAACTTCAAAGCTCTTCAAGAGGTCACTGAAGCCAGACAGTTCACGAGGTCACTAACGTCTGACGCAACTCAGAGCTCACCGCGATCTTACGTCTGTGATGAAACTGATATTTACGAATTTTTTTTTTTAGCTTAGGTATTTTAAATATTCATGACTCGAGTGTTGCTCTTTTTTTTCAGCTGGCTTCTCTTGTGACGGTGGACTCTTAACTTTTCGGTTTCTCTTAGCACCTCAGTTCACACAAAACAAGTTTGATGACATAATTACTGTCAACTGTCGCTTCGCTGTCACAAGCCTTTGACGGGTTAGCGAAGTCAGGACAGATTACCTGACTTGTCGAGTCCCCAGCACCCTTGACAACTGGTTAAGAACACAAACTCAGCTGGTTTATCACACAGCTGGCTTCAAAAGCCACGCTGCATGCCGCTGTGATATGATTACAAGTTCCTTGTTTATCCTCTCAGTGTTTTGCTCAGAAGCAGCTAGCATAGTAAGTCATACAGTAAGAAGCAGCATCCAGGTAGGTGGGGGGGAGAGTGTTTGAAGGATTAACCTCCCAAGGAAGGCTGGTAGGGTGTTGAAGGTCGCCAGCCAACCAACCCCGCAGTGTCTGGTGGTCGGTGTGAACGCTAGCGGAGCGAGTAACTAAATGTTCCACGCGCTACCGCTGCCAGGAGGACACTAGAGACAGACTCCACCCATCAACCTAAGCGACCCAGTATGCTCCGCCTACGACCTGAGACGCATGCGTTCTGGGCGCACCTCAGACACAACGCACCTGTGAATGCCATACCTGAAGAGAGGAGGCGGTGCACATGGCGGAAGGTGCGGGCCACCCAAAAATTCCTAATCTCGATAAAGTTTTTTTCTTGCACGAGCAAGAAATACAGACGTAAACATTTTCACAGAGGAGTTTAAATTCCCTAAGTACGCATGATACGGGAAATAATGCTAATGCAAGTGCCTCATGCACAACTCAGTAGGCACTTCTGGAATTTCTTGGGCAACCAACAAGAATGAAAAACTTTTTATAAGTTGTGGGCATAACCATCAGGTATCACTGAGGCAGTAGACGTTAAAATCTCCAGACATTACTGGACATGTAAGGCCACTACATACACAACGTCACTACACACGTGCATACATCACTGTACAAGTAAATACATCGCTACACAAGTACATAAATCACTATACATATAAATGCATCAGAGTACACTTGCACATCGCTACACATGTAAATACAGTACTGAACAAGTAAATATAAACCTTTAATTAAATCATTCCAACCGTCAAGAACTTCTTAACATTGTAAATATAAAACATTACAATATTTGGGGGGATAGCGAACAGGAGATGAAGAAAAACATTACAATCACCAGACATGAAGCAGAGAAAAACATTGTTTACACAGATGATGCTTGCAAAGCTTGACGTGGAACTAATTGTATATGGTTTACAACACCGATAAGAAGATAAACGAGACATGCAACACTTGGGCAAAATTTGGGCAACACATATGCAACAATTGGGCAACACGTGGGCACCACTTGGCCAACACGTGGGCACCACTTGGCCAACACGTGGGCACCACTTGGCCAACACGTGGCCAACACTTGGCCAACACGTGGCCAACACTTGGCCAACACGTGGCCAACACGTGGCCAACACTTGGCCATCAGAGATAACTCGTTCATCTAGAAATGGGAATAAAATAATTGAGCTATGTTACAATATGCGAGGAACCAGACATGTGTATAAGAGCAAATTAGAGAAACTTATGGAGTGAGGCAGCATTACGTAGGAAATTTAAACCAGCTTTAGAGAAGAACAAAAAGAAATAGGTGAGGTAAGTTACCGCTATATAGGAACTACTAACAAAGAAAAAGGAAAGAACTGGTAAAAAATGGAAGTGGTTTGCATTATCGTAAAACAGTATTAGTAAAGGCATCACTACACACCCAGTTAACCAGAATACAGCACAAACTGTTGAAATCTAAATGATAATTCAAAACTTGGTTAGATTCGTAACTGTAAACTCATTTAACTATCCTTGAAATAATACATGGGAAGAGAAGGTTTTGATAAACGAGAAATATCTTAATTTGCTAAAAATTTATAACTCAAAAGTTTCCATAAAAAAAAAAAAAACGCAAAAATCTTTTTAGTGGGACTTCAGGTTCAAAGAAACTTACTTGATGGACATCGAGCCGACAACGAATTTCTCTTTTATGACGAGGTAATTTATGTACTAGCAAAAATGACCGAAGAGTATTCCTAGTGAGAGATAGCAACACTAAACCATTAGTAGATCCAGTGCTGTATTTACTTGAAGAGAAGAAGAAATCCAAACCTCCTTAGGCTCACATCTCGATCCTCAGGTCATTCTTCATGGTGTTGCACGTCGCCTTGTTGTTCCGTATCCTTGCTGAGTACAGGTTATCTGCAGCAGAGCATCGGCAGGCCTATTCAGTGACTAAGGTCTTGTTTGCCATAGTTCCGAGGGAAAGGTTGCAAGGCATGAAGTACTTAACATCACCAAGAAAGCCTTGGAACAGAAGGATGACCAACAATAAAGGAGCCACGCCAGCTATACAGATCCGATGGCAGCCAAAAGGGTCTAGCTAGAATCGCCTTACAAGACTACAGATAGAAATCGAGTTAGACTACACATGTGCATCCACACTTGCTGATACCTACTGTATTTCAAATACGACGTAGATGAATGAGATGCAGCTGCCAGCTTCAAGGAGTCACAGAAGTGTACAAAATACACCCTACTCTTACTAGTTCAGAGACCCTCGTGCTCATGGGAAAAGAGCACATCCAAGTTACTGTAGAAGCTAGGAAAAAATACTAATGGAAACTAAGGATCCGACAACAGCTACTTTCTTGTTCCAGCATTTCATGTTGCAGTTCGGGGAGAAATAATGCTTGCTGCATCTTGGGTACGAGCTCGTTCTCCGAGGAACTGGATGTAATATTTTAAATGTAATTTTTGAAAACACACTTCGTGAGGCAGTGGGTAGAATGAAAGGGAATAAGGCAGCTGGGATTGATGGGATAAAGATAGAAATGTTAAAAGCAAGTGAGGATATAGTTCTGGAGTGGTTGGTGCTTTTACTTAATAAATTTATGGAAAAGGGAAAGGTACCTAGGGATTGGCAGAGAGCATGCATACTTCTTTTGTATAGGGGCAAAAGGGACAAAAGAGAGTGCAAAAAATGATTTTTTTTTATTAACACACTGGCCGATTCCCACCAAGGCAGGGTTGCCCGAAAAAGAAAAACTTTCACCATCATTCACTCCATCACTGTCTTGCCAGAAGGGTGCTTTACACTACAGTTTTTAAACTGCAACATTAACACCCCTCCTTCAGAGTGCAGGCACTGTACTTCCCATCTCCAGGACTCAAGTCCGGCCTGCCAGTTTCCCTGAATCCCTCATAAATGTTACATTGCTCACACTCCAACAGCACGTCAAGTATTAAAAACCATTTGTCTCCATTCACTCCTATCAAACACGCTCACGCATGCCCGCTGGAAGTCCAAGCCCCTCGCACACAAAACCTCCTTTACCCCCTCCCTCCAACCTTTCCTAGGCCGACCCCTACCTCAAGTGCAAAAAATATAGGGGAATAGGTCTGTTGAGTATGCCTGGTGAAATATATGGTAGAGTTATTATTGAAAGAATTAAGAGAAAGACGGAGAGGAGGATAGTAGACGAACAAGGAGGCTTTAGGAAAGGTAGGGGGTGTGTAGACCAAGTGTTTACAGTGAAACATATAGATGAACAGTATTTAGATAAGGGTAAAGAGGTTTTTGTGGCATTTATGGATTTGGAAAAGGCGCATGACAGGGTGGGTAGTGGGGCAATGTGGCAGATCTTGCATATGTATGGAATAGGAGGTAGGTTATTGAATGAGGTGAAAAGTTTTTACGAGGATAGTGAGGCTCAGGTTAGAGTATGTAGGAAAGAGGGAGATTATTTCCCAGTAAAAGTAGGCCTTAGACAAGGATGTGTGGTGTCTCCAAGGTTACTCAATATATTTAGAGATGGGGTTGTAAGAGAAGTGAATGCTCGGGTGTTGGCAAGAGGTGAGGCGTTAAAAGATAAAGAATAACACAATGTGAGAGTTGCCACAGTTGCTCTTTGCTGATGACACTGTGCTTTTGGAAGATTTTGAAGGGAAGTTGCAGAGATTGGTGAATAAGTTTGGTAGGGTATGTAAAAGAAGAAAATTAAAAGTGAATATAGAAAAGAGCAAGGTGATGATGATAAAAAAAATTAGGTAATGAAAGACTGGATATCAGATTGGAGGGAGAGAGTATGGAGGAAGTGAATGTATTCAGATATTTAGGAGTGGACGTGTAAGCAGATGGGTCTATGAAAGATGAGGTGAATCATAAAACTGACGAAGGGAAAAAGGTAAGTAGTGCACTGAGAAGAATGTGGAGACAAAGAATTTTGTCCATGGAACCAAAGAAAGAAATGTATGAGGGTATAGTTATACCAACACTCTTAAATGGGTATGGAGAATGGGTGGTGAATGCTGCAACAAGGAGAAGGCTGGAGGCAGTGGAGATGTCGTGTTTGAGGGCAATGTGTGGTGTGAATATAATGCAGAGAATTCGTAGTTTGGAAATTAGGAGGAGGTGTAGGATTACCAAAACTATTATCCAGAGGGCTGAGGAGGGGTTGTTGAGGTGGTTCGGACATGTAGAAAGAATGGAACAAAATATGATGACTTCGAGAGTGTATAAATCTGTAGTGGAGGGAAAGCTGGGTAGAGGTCTTCCTAGGATAGGTTGGAAGGAAGGGGTAAAGGAGGCCTTGTGTGCGAGGGGCTTGGACTTCCAGCAAGGATGCGTGTGTTAGATAGAAACGAATGGAGACAAAAGGTTTTTAGGAGTTGACTTGCTGTTGGAATGTGAGCGGGGTAATATTTATGAAGGGATTCATGGAAACCGGTAGGCTGGACTTGAGTCCTGGTGATTGGAAGTACAGTGCCTGCACTGCAGTTTTATAACTGTAGTGTAAGCGCGCATCTGGCAAGACAGTGAGGGAGTGAATGATGGTGAAATCTTTCTTTTACCGGCCATCCTACCTTGGTGAGAAACGTCCGATGTGTTAATAAAATATAAAATATAATAATATATATATACATATATATATATATATATATATATATATATATATATATATATATATATATATATATATATATATATATATACACACACACACACACACCAAATGCTGTGATTTTAGAAACAATGAAGGCACGATGATCTGCCACCCAAATGCCATTTTTTTACGGAGTTAATCTCACCGGGAGACAACCTGGACAGAGTCTAAGTACAATGTATATCCTCAGAGAAATGGACGCCTCCCTGTCTATGTTCACTGATACGCACATTTCAGTATATATGCACAGACACGTCTCTCACTGTATTTTCCACCATAAGAAGAAACAATGTCACGCAGATGAACCACATCTACAATATATAACTTGCTATGCATCGTAACTTTCACAGGAAGAAAAACAATTAATCAAAAGCTTCATGCAAGAATCACTTCCCATAAACACTCAAGAATGAAAAGCGCTACACGAGCTACAACAGCTGATCAATTTTTTTTAATACACATTAAAGAAACCAAGATGATTATAGAAATTAAA